GCGCACATGCACACCTCTCACAGTCTCTTGGTAGCCGGCTTTCTCCACGCGAGCCCTGGGCGATAGAGCGGGGTCGCCTCCCACCACAGCAGGTCTTTCTTGCACTCTTCCATGCTTGCTCAGACAGACCCAAGCAGAGGGCTGTTGGGAGCGCAGCCTAGGCCGCTTGGTCGGGCCTTGTACCCCAGCTCACACGCACATGTCCTCACACGCTTTCCGTCCTTTTGAGCCGCAGACGGAGCGACGACGTAGACGTACGGGTGCGCATGCTCCGTGGAGCGTTGCGGTTGCGCACACCCGTACTGCCGGCGGACGCTCTCAGTGGGTTTGCTTTGGGTGAGTCTCTGAGGCAGATTTTCTCCCATTTATGCACACAAAGTATCCGCGCACGCGGGTCACATTCCCCTCGAGTCAGAGACAGGCAGAGGCCCTGAAGCCACACGCGCCCCCACGCACGCAACCCGTGCACGCAGCCCGGGGGCCTGCTCCACTCCGGAGGGCACGGGGCGGGGGTGGGGACCTCTGCACCGGGCCTCGGTTCCTTCAGGTCGCTGCTTGTTCGGGGCTGAAGCAGCCTGGATGAGCAAGGAGGCATCCGGCTGCGTGCAGAAGTCGGGGGCGGGGTGTGTAGGCTGTGTGGGGACTCTGATGGAGATTACTGCTTTTAGGCAGAGATCTGGTAAAAGAGAAAGGGAAGCTGGAATTAAAACAAGGAGAGGGCTGGGGATGTAGCTCACCGACAGACCATCTGATAAAGATGCATGAGGCCAGGAGTTGGTTCACCACCCAAAAATACTGTAAAAGGGGAAGAATTTTAGCTGCAGTGCAGGACCAGTAAAGCCCTCGACTCAGTGTTGCTGGGAGCTCTCCACCTTTGTCAGCCCTTAAGAGCTAAAGGGCAAGGGGCTGGGGATTTAGCTCTGCGCCACAGCGCCTGACCGGCAAGCGCAAGGTCGTGAGTTCGATCCCCGGTACCAGAAAGAAAACAAAAACAAAACAAAACAAAAAAAGAGCTAAAGGGCACAGGTACACATAAACCCCGTGTTGGCTCTTCATTCATTGGATCGGACCTAAACTTGCAAGGTTCGACTTTCAGTCAGGAAATCCCCAAGGAAAGCTATCTTTTGGGCGCCCTTCTAGCAACCAGGAGGAAAAACATCTTCCATTCATGACGGAACTGGGCAACACATCACATGAATTTTTAATATACATCTCTTATATATGGTGATTATTGATTTACAAGTTATATCTTTCACTATTATAGTGATATGCATGTACATTATAAAAGAATACATGAAATTTTGAAATGTAATGGTGAAGTAAGCAATATATTAAAATGTTTTGCTAATAGTCCATGATGGTTTCATATTATTACCTGGATCATAGGTAATACACATTTATGGCAGGCTTCATCAGGAATGTATAATGTCAAATTTTTTTGACCACCTTTTTTTTTTCCAGATTGACTAAATCATTTACCTTGTAACGCATCTGACATGCTGATGCCAGTACTACCATCACTGCCATTTTATATGTAGTTATGCTTTCTTTGTGAGGGGTAATAATTTAGTCCAAATGACCACTTATCCCACCACATGTAATCTGCAATATTTCTCAGTTTGCTGATAGTAAATGAAGGAGGGGGAAGGCCACTGTCAACTTGACTGCACTTTGGAACTTGCCCTGTTCTCCCAGGACATCTCTTTCCTAATATGTGGCCTTCTGAGATGCCACCCAGTGAACCCCGCAGCATATTATTATTCAGCCATAAAGAAGAACAAAAAGCCAGGTGTGGTGGCACATGCCTGTAATCCCAGCACTTGGGAGGCTGAGGTAGGAGGATCATTGTGAGTTCGAGGCCAGCTTGGGCCACATAAGTGAGTTCAAGGACAGCCTGAACTGCATAGTGAGACCCTGTCTCAAAAAAGACAAAAAAAAAAAAAAAGAGCAAAATACAGGAAAAATGGCTGGATCTTGAGACCATGAGGTTAAGTGAAATAAGCCAGGCAAAGGAAGTTAAATATTGCATGGCTTCTCTTATATGAGAAGCCCAAAATATAAATAAATAAAAAACAAAGAGAGGGAGATGATAGAAATAGGGATGCAGAGTTTTTAGAGATGGGGAAGGGGATCAGAGGGGGGAATGGAGAAGGGAGGGAGTGAAGGAATCAAAAATTACCAAGATATGGCACACTGTATACATGGCCAAGTTCCCTGAAATGAAGGTAATTATTGTGTATCACATACTAATAAAAATTACTAAGAGATGATAAAAGTGCATGAATTCATATTTGTTCCTTCCATTTTCCATATAAAGTACCAGTCCTTAACCTTTACTGGGTCTTCGACACTTCTGACAACATGATGTGATATATGGGACTTCTTTAAAGAAATGTACTTAGATACATATAAACAAACTTTATCATAAAATTTCAAGAGTTATGGACTCATAAAATCTAATCGTGGCCCTCTCTAGTTTCAGAACCTCAAGTTATCTCCAACCAGACCTTCCTGCTGCTGGGCCATCTGACAGAGCCGACATTGGAGTTTCCTCTTGATTCTGTCCTGCGCATCGCACACACCCGCCCCCGCAACATCATGGTGGCCTACTGGCGACAGGCTGGACTCAGCTACATTCGATTCTCCCAGATCTGTGCAAAAGCAGTGAGAGATGCCCTGAAGACAGAATTCAAAGCAAATGCAGAGAAGACTTCTGGCAGCAGCATAAAAATTGTGAAAGTGAAAAAAGAATAATCAACCCTGACTAGAGCTTGAAATGCTACATTTTCATTCTGAAGATGTATGGGCACATGTTATGGAGATTGTAATCAATGTCACTTTGTGAGAGGGAAAAGGTACCTATGTTATTCATAAATTAATGATACCAATAAACTGATGTATGGTTCGCTGTTTAAAAAACTCGTTAGAGGCTAATGTTTTGGGAATATAAATTTTAAGGACTCAAAATAAAATTCAAGATCTGAGAAGAAAAATTACTATGCTTTTTTTTCCCCCTACATTAATCTGAAAAGTCACTTGGGAGGCAGAGTTACTAGTTTCAAGAATCTGTCACACAGATGTGTATAATTTCAAAATCCAAATTATATAAAATCTAGTACACATCTCAATATAATTCCAAAGTTAACTGAATTGAAGACATGCTTTTGGAGTTTCTTTTAGCTTTTTTACAATGGATAACTCATACTCCATTATTAAAGATTTGTCTATTAGGGCTTCTTTTGCATGAGATAGGGGTCTTACTATGTTTCCCAGGCTGGCCTTGAACTCCTGCCTCAAGAGAGCCTTCTGTCTCAGCATCCTAAGTACTTGAGACGGTAGGCAAATGCCAGAGTCATCAAGACTGATGACTTTTGGCTCACAGGTAAAACTAGTGGGAAAGATGCTCATTTACATAAAATGGAAAGACAACTTCAGCAGTATTTGTTTAGTAATGACTTTATTGATACATATCACATACCAACTAATTCACCCTTTAAAATTATATAAGCCAAAGGTTTTTAACAGGTTCACCTCCATAACTATCACCACTATAATTTGAGAACATTTCCATTAAACCCAAAAGAAATCCTGCATCTGTAAAGCACTCTTTTACCTTATTATCCATCAGTGATTCCTGCTTTGTGCAGCCAATAATCTGCTTTTGGCTTTGTAGATTTGCCTACTCTTGATAAGTCCCTTTAACTGTTCATGCAATGCAGAATCTTTTGTGAGTAGCTTCTTCACTAAACACAGTGGTTCCAAGGTTCATGTAGCATGTACCAATACTTTCTTTTTATGAGAAATCATAGCTCATTGTATGAACATACCTCATTTTCTTTATCCATCAGGTAATGGACATTAGGGATGTTCCTAGTGTTTGGCTATTATAAATGATTCAGTTATTAGTATACATATTAGTATACATAGTTTAGTGCTGACCAAGACCTTAACATTTAACCCATAAAGCAAAAAGTCAAATAGAAGAACTTACATAGTTAAAATGAAACTATACAAATTTCTAATAACTTTACATGTTTCAAAATTCAACTGTTTTTATATACATCACAAAATCTTTTCATAATTGAGAAACTGGATCATTACAGTATCACAGAATGAAGAAGTCCGTATAGCCTAGACATTCTCTAACATCCCTTCTTACACAACGTTAACAATTTATTACTTCCTGTCATCTCACCTTGAAAGGAAAAGTAAAGATTGGGTTGTAGATAATTCTGTATCTTGAGGACACCATCAACAGCCATCACTGAGTCTCTTCTAAGCATCAAGCACAACCATGCAGATGAGGCTTGACCTTAGCCAGAAATGATAGGATGAGCTACCCTTGAGTTCCTCAAACTCATAAGTACTTGGCTTTGTTATCAGTTCCCAAATATACTTTGCCTCGTTCAGGTTACAACCTCTGCCCATTCTTGGGCAACTCTCCATGTTAATACAGACCAGCACTCCTGACTGTTCCCTGCCAACCTTCATGCCACCTCCAAGACTAAGCTGAAGTTCAGTACAGTTCACACACTGGTTTAATGCTCCCATGCACTGTTGGTCTATCAAGTATTCTCAGAAGGTCCAGGATTCTCAAGAGGTTCTCAGTGAATGCTTATGAATACATGATCCATAAGACTTCACATCCATACTATGTATGTGAGAGTAAGGAGCCAAATGAGTTCATGACATACCGGCATTTATCATTTATGAATTGATAATATATTTCCTCAATAATCAAAATATGTGGGAAGCCCAACTTGAGTCATCATGGCATTATATTAAGAAAAAATTATTTACTGGATTTACCTGATAAGGATGGGTTGAGAGGCACAGGAAACATCCTGTAAAGATTAAGTCTTCTGTTTCACCAAACAGAAGACTTAAAGAGGAGAAGTAACTGATCAGTTCTCTCTCTTGCTTTGTACTTTGGAATGATTTTATTTATGGATTTAATTTCACCAAAATGCTGTGAATTTTATCTGACTCCAGCATATAAGCCCAACTTAGAAGGCTGAATCACAATTTACTGCTAGGAGGTCCTGCCAAGCTCTGCCATTCTTTCAGAGGAGGGTTTCCCTGGGAAGCCAGCCTTTTTAGATAGTTGCAGGGCTCCAGTTGGGGAATATCAGGATTCTGCTGGTAATACTTCTGCAACTTCTCTAGAACTGTGGGCAGCCCAACTGTGGAGGCATAGAACATGGGCCCACCCTTGTGCCGTGGCCAGCCACACCCATGCAAAAAGATCACATCAATGTGCTCTGGGCTAGCAGCGATCCCTTCCTCCAAGATACAGAAGGCTTCATTGATAAGTGCATACAAGCAGCGCTCCAGGATCTCATCCTGCCCAATGACACGTGGTTTGATGTGATGGGTTTCTCTGTACTCTGACAGGAATTTGGAAAGCCAGGGGTCAGGTTTGTGAATCCTACCCAGTGGCTTGTCATACTGATACCAACCCTGACCAGTCTTCTGGCCAAACCGTCCTGATTCATAGAGCATATCAGGAATGGGGCTGTATCTTGCATTGCCTCGCTTTCGGGTAGGAGTGCCTGAAGGCAGCATAGGCCCAGTGAGACCCTGCCCCTTGCGAACTTTCCAGCCCACATCTAAGCCAGTGAGGTCAGACAATCGAAAGGGCCCCATTTTGAAACCAAACTCTTCCAGTACTTGGTCTATGTCCTCTGGTTTACTGCCATCTTCTAACAAGAAATAAGTTTGTTCACAATAAGGTTTCAACATTCGATTTGTAACAAATCCATAACAGTTGCCTACAACTACAGCAATCTTTTTAATCTTCCTCGCTAGGTTCATAACAGTGGCAATGGTAGTAGGGGAGGAGTGTTGGCTGGGAATAACCTCTAACAACTTCATGACATGAGCTGGGGAGGAGAAGTGAGTGCCAATGACCAGCTGAGGGCGATTGGTGGAAGCAGCGATCTCATCCACATCCAGAGCTGAAGTGTTGGTGCACAGAAAAGCTTCTGGCTTGCACACAGCTGACAGTTCAGCAAAGACCTGCTTCTTCAGGTTCATGTCCTCAAAGACTGCTTCAATGACTAAATCGACACTGGCAAGGTCCTTTATAGATGAACTGAACCTAGGTTTTGGTCCTGACCTGTGCTGCCCACTCTGTTGCATGCTTTTGGATGCTTCTTTCTCCAGGATGGAAGTTACTATCTTCTGTGCAGCTTCTAGCTGCTTTTGGTCTGATTCCACAGCAATCACAGGGATCCCGACCCTTGCAAAAGAAATGGCAATGCCTCGGCCCATTGTTCCCAAGCCTGTAGGTAGAGAGTGAAAAAGAATGATTCAGGGGTACTGGGAACTGGAAAATCACTTACTGTAAGACGCTTCTATGGTAATGTGGCATTTACAAAGGTGCATGCCTGTGATCCCAGCACTTGGGGGCTGAGGCAGGAGGATTGCTGTGAGTTTGAGGCCAGCCTGGGGTACACAGTGAGTTCAAAGCCAGCCTGTACTACAAAGTGAAATCCTGTCTCAAAAAGCCAAGTTTTAAAAACATTGATTCAAGAACATGAAAAGGATATTGAACTGTTCTACAGAACACACGGGAGCAGTGAAATTCTGCAACACAAGATGTTGGTGTGAAACAAGAAGATGTTACTGTATCTAGGTAATATAAAGCAATAGAATTCATTCCAAATGCCTAGATAGGAGAGTGAGAGACAAGACCTTGGAAATATGCTAGAAATAATAAACTCTGATCAGAAATGCAGGAATGAAAGAGCCAGAGAGTAAAGAGGCAAGCACGAGTAAAATGTGCCCATACTCTGGAGTCTGACAGTCCTAGTGTCAAGACCTTCACACCACTAGAATTTTGCTCACTGTTGAAATATTTGCACCTCTAGGGTTCACATGTAAAATGGACAGAGTTCATGGACTTGGATGAAAATCAACTGAGCTAACAAGAGTAGTATGTTCAGCATAGAACTTGGTGTCAGCAGGTCCTAGTTTATGGCAGCATGGAGAATCCCATGAGCTACCCCATGTGCTCACCGAGAACACCAACTGAGGAGATGGGTCGTGCAGTAGCTGTTTTCCAGGACGCTCCAGATGGGGTTGACCACTTAGTGGCACTTTTCTCGGCAAAGAAAGCATACTGCAGGGCTCTGGCCTGCCCGGATTGCCGAAGGTATTGAAACAGCTCTCTCTCTTTCTTGATGCCTTCTTCATAGGGGTACTTCACGGAGGCCTGGACTGAACGGACACAGGTCTCCAGAGCAAGGCGCCCAGGGTACTGCTTCCGCATCTTCTCAAAGGCTTCACTGAAAATGGCGTCCATGTTGGGCAAGCTGGGAACTGGCCTGTTGAGGATTCTGCGAGGTTCTAGAGGTTGATCTGAAAGTAGTAAGAGAGAGCAGAGCTCCAGCGACGTAACTTACACGTACTAGAAAAATAATAATGCCCATTCTTTACCACAAACTCAGTTACAAATCTTTAAGAGTGGGGCCTGAGCAAGACTGTTTTTGAAAACTTCAACAGTATATTTTGAGCTATGGATCCTAGGAGGCTTTATCAAAGAGACTTACAAAAGTCACTGTATGAAGGACAGCTGATGTTCTGGAAAGTTTTAGGCCAGAGATTGAGAAGAAAGGGTGGGAGGGGAGAGAGAACACACAAAGAAAGCCAACCAGACAGAGAAATATAAATGAGAATAAAATGGAAAAGTAAAGCTTGCTTAATTGCACATACTAATTATTTCTTATTAATATAATTCTGATATCCAGAAATAAAACCTTGCAGACTGCGTGTGAGCCTTCCAGGACTACACAAGGCACTTGTTCAGACCAGTTCTAGCACCAAATTAAGCATCCCTAGAGAGGTTTGATCAGAGAACAGTCACACGTGGTCCCTCTACCCCTCAATCCACTTCATATCCTTCTCTTGCTGTCGGTATAATAAAAAGATGCTATTATCTCCACGTTTGGTTTATTACCACAAAACATGGAGAATTTTCTCCTTGGGACAAAGGAACAGTTTTTAAAATGTTTCTTCTGTACTTGATCATCTGAAAGTTACTGTGGTCATTCATTGCTGCACGTCAAGTCAACTCAAGTGAGGACCACCTAGAAGATTAGTTACACTCTGGATGTGTCTGTGGATGAGTCATACGTTGACTGAAAATTAAGAAGGGAAGGCCCACTAAGGTCTTTCTCCTCCCCAACTCTGAAAATAGTACACTGCTTCTATCCGAGAGGCCCCATAAGGACAGAGAAAATGTCTGCAGGGTCCCAGGTCTCAGGCATGTCACAAGGAAGCTCAACATAGACAAGCTCTTAGGCCTCCTTTATGAGAAAGGTCACTTTGCTGTTTTGAAATATGTTCTTATAAATGTTAGCACACAGTAAAAACAAATTACAAAGAGGAATGGATAAAATGAAAATTAAAAACTGAAGTGACAACTAGGATTTTTTACAAAATCCACAAAATCCAAATGAACAAACAAACCAAGGCCTTTGGGCAGAATTAGAAGCGTTAAAAATGGGTGACACAGTTCAGCTCAGCAACAGGGCTAGGGTTCAGAGACAAAAGCAGATCATTAGCTTTCTGACCTGAGGCTCCCAGGGGGATGCTCCGTGTGTCCATCCCTTCTGGAAAACGTGGGCAGAGAGCCTGGATGCTCTTGGTCTTTGAATAGCAGCGCCCACTTCCAGCTCATGCCAGAAACATGCACATGGGAACCAGGAGTTGCTAGTCCAGGTCAGAGACAGGCAAGCTGCTGGCCACGGGCAAGTGCAAATGACTGGCATTTTACGGGACCCTCTCCTACCAGCTGTGCCAAAGCATTTTTAGGTGGCCAAGTAATTCTGCTTTGCTCTGCTAAATCAACTCTATTGCTGTACCTTGGGAAGCTTTGTATAATGAGAAAATAAAGATATACAAAGCTTCACAGTCAATTCTCCAGGACAGTGTTAAGTTTGTGGAGAAATCTGAAGCTACGCTCCAAATCACATCTATAGGTCTGTAACTGTGCACATTTTCTTCTCCCTGATAATGGTTCAGAAGTGTTGAGTGGAACATCTCTGTCATCCTTGTTCTTTCTACCTCAGTTGTTCTCTCTCCACATCAGAGTATGGTCCCCAGAACAGAACAGAACCAAAATTCTGAAATGTTAGAGAAAACTAACACATATTGTGGTTAAAAAAAAAAAAAAAATCAAAACAAAAGGAAACACCATTTATTAAATTTGGGAGAAAAAGCCTTTTTTTACATTTGTGCTTATTTCCTTTCAATTTTGTGTGTGTTCATGATAATCTATAGATCAATAATTATAAAAAATACCTAAATTTATTAGTGCTGCTGAGGACGGAACCCGGGGCCTCTAGTATGTTCCACACTCAACAATGAGCTCTACCTCTGACTTATATCCCCAGCCCTATGAATGTATATTTTAGACATTGTACATCACAAGCACTTTTACATACCTCTATGTACTTTTTTATCATTTATTTTAAATTATTACATGTAATAACCTAAAGCCAGAACTGTGAGATGAATTCATTAAGTTTTAAAGTCAGTGATGCTTTGATATTTGAATGCCACCAAGTGGACAGACTATGTAATGTTACTGAGATTGAACATTGTATATTTTATAAATATAAAAATGTTAAAGTTTAAATTTACTTTACAATTAATTTTAAAACTGAAATAAAACATGAAACCTACAGAATTTTTAAAATATACTACACCATGATCCTTATCCATTTCTTTTTTTAAATTTTGCCCTTTTTTATTTTAAAGAGAATAAAAAATTTTAAAACATTAAAAATGATACAGAATTTCAAAACAAGATGACAGGAAATCAACAATGGTTGTTATGTTGCATATTGTTATCTTCAAAGTAGTTCAGATTACCAGATCTAAGCATGCAAAATTAGTAAAAAAAAAATTAAGCATTCACCGTTCCTTTCAATAAACCAAAAGAAATTAGTAGTACAGTTCTCTTAGCTATCTTCTGTATATATATTTTTTCCCTTCCTTCTTTCTTTCTTTTCTCCTTTCCCTCATCCCATAGTTGTTCTTTCCTTTTGAGCAGTTTCTTTCCCTTTCACAATATCTATTATTTATTTCTTTCAGTAAGTTAACTTTTAAATCTGAATCTGAGGACATCAGTTAAGCAAAGAAATGTGCCATCAAATTTGAGGTGTTAACAAACTATAACCACAGGTATGGCTGGTACACTGGGTCTATCTTGAGCCCCAATCCAAAGAATGACATAGGGACATCCAGGGGCAAACAGCCTTTGCTTTGAAGCATCCAAGTGACTTCCTGTCAGGAAGCACAGTGGTGCAGGCCTGGTAAAGGAAGAGAAAGTCGTCAAGGAATCCATTTCCACTTGGGCAAGAACTTGCCAACTCTCTTTAGGAATCACCAGTATTTTCTCCACATAGTTGCTCACCTCTCCATGGCAAACATCACTGTTACACCGAACCAGTACCTGGCTGGATCACTAAAAAAGACAGATGACTTTAAGGAAGGGTCAGGCCTTTTTTAAGGGACTGTCTTGGGGCAGATCCTGAGTTGTTGCTGCCATCAAGAAGGGGCCATGCACACACTCCATTCTGCCTGTAGCTCAACACTGCTCTCAATTACTTTCTCTGGCAATCTTTTCCCATCCCTTCTCGGTTGTGTAAAGCTGACAACCTCCCCAGACTGAAAAGAAACAGTTTAAATTCAAACAAACAAACAAACCGGAGTCATGCCACTAAAGAAACACTTAGTTGAAACCATCTCAAGTCTATAAAGCTAGAAGCCCTGGACAGTGATGGAACTTTGTCAGCTGATGGGAGATGCGGAGCCACAGCCTTACAAGGCGGGGTAACAGACCCTGCCTTCCACGGGCTGAAATGTGTGTGTTCTCTGTTTCAAAGTTAATTCTATTTCTTAATTGGAAAACCACTCGTGATAAAAAAATTCCAAAGGTACAGAAGGGTAAAGTATAGAAAGACTCTTTCCAACTGTTTCTACCACCTGACTGGCACCACACTCACAGCAGCTATAGTATTTCCTGTGAATCCTTACAGAAATATACACAGTTACAAGTATCCATTCCCCACCCCATATGCATCCTATTCCATCCTTCCTTTTTTTTACATGAACAGCAAACCAGCAAACACAATGCTTTTTAAAAAATTTAGTAATATATATGGGATATATGTATATATGGTTTATACCATATAAGTACATTCATTTTTAAATTGTAACAATCTATCACATAGATTTGCCATAAGATATTTAATGAGTTCCTATTAAAATGGACATTTATCTTGTTCTATAGTGTTATTCATTTATTAGTTTCTTACCTAAAATTTTCTGGCTGAATTTGATTGCCTCTTCAAGTGGGTCTGAGTTCACAACTTCGTCCAAAATACCCAATGTGAGTGCTTCACCTGCCAAAATATATCGTCCTAAAACAAAGTAAAATAAATCATAGAAGAGAATGAAATTAAAATGGCAGCATTCCTTTCTCTAATAGGGAGAGTTGTCTTTCCTGGATATAAACATTTCGTATTAAGTGAAGTGAATAAGGACCACCCTGACGATTCCAGTAGAAACATTATTGCAGACATACCAAAAACTTTAAATTCAAGCTCCAGTTCTGCTTTTTACAGTTTGCTTAACCATGGGAAACTGTGTTAGGACTACAATTTTCTTCATTGCTACATGAGAATAATTATGCTTACCTCAGTAATTCTGAATATTAAGTGAAAATAATATTGTCTCCTTACATTTTGTAAATCCTTATAGAAGCACTTTAATACCTTATAAATTTCCATGGAATATAAGTGATAGTTGATTTCAGAAACCAATAATAATAGAAACACTGCCAGCAGAGGAGCAGCAGTCCAGCCTACCTTGTATCTGCCACACACTAGAGGATGCAGTCGATTAACAAAAAACATAGTCTCCAAAAATGAACACAGTTGAGTGGGTGGAGAAAAAAGCACCAATTAAATTGATGGTATGTAAGGTATAGTGCACATTACACATCACAAATAAGGTAGTTTTCTGCCATCTTTTCAGCTACCTAGCAACTCATTCTTTCCTGGTGAAATCTCTGTTGTGTGAGCTTTGGAGCCCTGCTTCCTCCTAGGGATGTGGGAAAGGAAGCAGAGATGATCAGACAATCGGTCTTTTAGTCCTGTGGTTCAAGACCCCATGCTTGGTGAACTCAGTGCCCTGATGAGGATTCTTAGTGATGAGTCACTGATACTAAGCCTCTGCACCTGAAGCCGCCACCACAGAACGTCACCTTGAGGGGCTTACTGGACCTTGATAAGCATTTGCATCACTCCCAAATTGTCTTGGCAGTCCTTTACCACTTGTTAAGATGGAATTTGATTGGCAAATTCTGATACAGAGGTGGGGGTCATTAAGGGTACCTTTCTACAGGGTAGGAAGAAGGAAATATTGACACATTTCTTTGCTTTCTTACCAGCAAAAGCCTGTCTTCTGAAAAGTGATCATCAAATCAGTCTTGTTGACAATAACTTCAGTGTCTTTCTGGCTCTTATACAGTGTTTTGGGTGCCATCTTTGGGATTAAACCTCTATTCCTACAGTTGATTAACAGAAATCCTGCTGGCATTCAAAAGTTATGGCAAAAGAGCTACATTTTGCCTATTTGTGATACCTATTTGAAATGAGCATAAAAAAGAACCTTAAACTGGTTGGTTATATGTATGCACAATCTAAGTCATCAAGATGCGCTTTTTTTCAGTATTGAGGATTAAACCCAGGGCCTCACACTTGCAGAAGTCTTTCACTTCCTTAGTTAGTTTAATTTCTAAGTATTTAATTTGTCTTGGTGCTATTATGAGTGGTATTTTTTCCTAATTTCTTTCTCAGTGAGTTCATCATTAGTGTACAGGATTGCTCTTGATTTTTGTGTGTTGATTTTGTATCCCACTGAATTTGAGATATAAAATCAAATAATTATTACTGAATTTGGTTATTATCTAAGGATCTTTTGGTGGATTTTTTGGGGAGTCTTCTATCTACAGAATCATGTTATCTGCAAATAATGATAATTTGACTTGTTTCACATATGTATTCATTTTATTTCTTTTTCTTGCCTTATTGCTCTAACATTTCAAGTACAGTGTTGAATAGGAATGGTAATAGTAGACATCTTTGTCTTGTTCCTGATTTTAGAGGGAAAGCTTTCATTTTTTCCCATTTAAAATGATGTTGACAGTAGGTTTGCCATAAATGGCTTTATTGACATTGAGATTGAGGTAAAGTATTTCATATTTTCTTCAGTGGTTTTATCATGAAAGGATGCTGGACTGTGTCAGAGGCTTTTTTCTGCATCTACTGAGAGGATCATATGAGTTTCATTCTTGCTTCTGTTATGTGATGGATTATATTTATTGATTTATATATGTTTTGGGGGGGTTAAGATGGGAAAATTTATTGGAGAAAAGGAATGGGGAATACAAATGGGGAATGGGGAATAGGAATAGCTCCTGAGAGATAGGAAGAGTCCCAAATCGGTTGCCCTGATTTGCATATGTTGAACCATCCTTGCATCCTTGGGATCACTGGGACAAAGCCTATTTGGTCATGATGTATGATTTTTTTTATCATTCACTGCATTCTATTTGCCAGTATCTTGTTTAGGATTTTTGCATCTATTTTATTAAAGAGATTGGTCTATATTTCTCTTTTATGGTTGGATCTTTGTTTTGTTTTGGAATCAGGGTAATGCTAGCTCCAAGGAATGACTGTAGGGGTGCTCCTCCCCTTTTAATTCATCAAAGAGTTTGAGGAGTAATGGTGTCAGATCTTCCCTGAAATTTTTGAAGAATTCAGCAATGAATCCACCTGCACCTTGGCTTTTCTTAGTTGGTACATTTTTTTATTACTGCTTAAACATGGTTTCCTATTATTAGATTATTGAGGATTTAAAAATAGTCTTGGCTCAGTTTTGATAATTTCATGTGTCTAGGAATCTATCCACTTCTTCCGAATTCCCCAATATATTGGTGTACAGGTTTATGAAGTAATTGTTAATAATCTTTTTGATTATGGTAGTGTGTTGTGATTTTACCTTTTTATTTCTGAAATTGTATTCATTTGTGTCTTTCTCTTTTTTGTCAGATTGGCTAATGGTCTATTTTGTTTATTCTTTCAAACAACCAACTCTTCTGTTCACTGATGCTTTGTATTTTTTGGTCCCAATTTCATTGATTTCTGCTCTGATCTTTACAATTTCCTTCCATGTACTAGCTTTGGGTTTTCTTGTTTTTCTAGGACATTGAGGCACATTACTGAGTTATTTATTTGGGCTTCTTTGTTTTTGTAATGTGGGCATTCACAGGTATAAACTTCCTTCTTAGGACTGCTTTCATTGTGTCCTGTAATTTCTGATATGTTGTACTGACATCATTTTGTTCTAGTAACTGTTTTACCTCTTCATTGATTTCTTTTGTAAGCCATTCTTAATCAACGAACAGTTTACCCCAGCCTCACTCAGGTAGTGCATTTGTTATATACTGACTATCCCGAATACTGCTCTGGCAGGGGTCATTTCAACCAGTCGATTCTTATATGGAATACATTTGGTAAAGTTGTTTTTATATTTCCTGTTATATTATAAAAATTAATGAAAAACATGTAATTTTTGGTCAT